TAGATAGATAGATAGATAGATAGATAGATAGATAGATAGATAGATAGATAGATAGATAGATAGATAGATAGACAGAACTTTACTGGAAGCACGTCTTCAGGCAGCATCATGCTGTTGGGTACCGTTTACATTGTGATTACATCAAAAGAGTTTCACGGCAAATTATGTTTCGAGACAACAGAAGCTGGATTTATCCCATTTTTAACAAAAAATTAGATAAATCCCCCTGATGAGCTGCTTTGAATCAAAGCGTTCTGTGGTTCTGTGGCTCTGAGGAGAGAAAACAAGCTTAAGAGAAAACAAGGCCGAGCCAAAGCCGATTATGGATTTGCAATCTGAATTTATGTCCTGTAAGAAGAATGGAACAATTCCTTTTGGCCCGGGGATGTAAAATAAGGATGAAACAAACCAAAGTTTGTCCTGTTCCCTCTCACCTTCTTCAAAGCCCTCTCTGAAGGACCCGGATCGGCTCATGGTGCGAGTCTTCTCATCCAGCGACATGCAGGAGTTCCTCAGCCGGTTTTCGCTCGGGTCAAAAGGGCCGTCCTGATTGGTCAGGCTGTTGTTGCGTGGACCCGTCAGGCCTATCTGAGCCGTAGAAGTCGGGCTGGATGCTGGAATTCATCACATATGAACAATCTTTTACTTAAAACAGATCATTTACTCGAGAAAAATCCAAATCAAAATGGTTTTAAGGCAACTCTTTCTTTGGTTTAAGTTATCTGAGCAAAGACAGTTTTTCATCCATCTATTTTATAACTTGATAATAACCACTTTATTCTATAAACTGAACTCTGGAAAAAAGTCCATCAAAATGGTTTTAAGGCAACACTTTCTTCGGTTTAAGTTATGTGAACTAAGACAGTTTTTCAGTCATCTAACTAAGGCGTTAACCTGAAAAACCTACATCAGGATTACTGAGCTGGTAGAACCCCCCTTTAGATGTCACCTGCGACCACATAAATCCCAGATAAATCCCTGCTTCAGAACCCGGGGCTTTGGCTGCGTACCCAGCTGTCCGAAGTTGAAGCGCGTCCCTGAGGGCGAGGTGATGCTGGACCCGGGGGAGAACGGGGAGTTGCTGGCCGAGTCCTGCAGCCCACTGGTGGAGTGGGAGCGCAGCCAATCGCGGGCCTCCTCGTGGCCCCGAATTTGCGGAGAGGGGCCGTACCTACAGGAGGCAACGGGGAACTGTCAGAGCCGGAGGCGGGAAACAGAAGGCAGAAAGCAGCCTCGGAGCGTTTGGACAAAAACAAGCCGACGCAGGATCAGATCTTTTCAGGATTGTTCTTCTCCGAAGCAGCCGGATTAATTGCTGGGATTTAACATGAGAATGGACGACATGGTGCAACAGAGTGAGCATGGACCCATTTCAGCTGGGAGCAACAGAAACTGTGGGAGGTGGGGGAAGCAGAAAAGAAGCCAAAGAAAATTTGACCTCCACGCGTCATCATGCCTGCGGCAGCACAACACGGTGACACACCTCTGGACAGGAGAACAACACAACAACACATGTGCCGGGCGCCAAAACAACAAAAAAAAAAAACTTGGATCAAAAAGCGTGAGCAGAAGCCTGGACGAGTGAATATGGACGCGGAAATCAGAAGAGAGACACATGTGTCCAGCAGACAGTGAACGTAGTACCTGAATCCTTTCTTAGGCAGAGTGTTTCTACCACAGTGTGGCCCGCTGTGGGAGAGAGACACTTCAGAGGAGAAACACAAGCAAACAGCCTCTTCTACGCTGAGAACTATCAATCTAGTCAAGGCACCGGGTCTAAATTTCTGTAGCTTTTCAGGGCCTATGGAGCTCAATTTTTGCATGTAACTCTGCACTCAACCACAAGGTGGCAATACTCCAGCACTCATCACAGACTACAAGCGACCACTCGACAAGAAACATCCACACGGAGAGTCTCACATTTAAATTCACACTGCAGGGGGGGTGAGAGGTCCTAAAAACAACCAAAGGCCACCACTCAGCCCTCAGAAACACGGAGCACCACCCAGAGAGGCTCTGAGAGTCTTCGTGGGGGCCGTGTGGCAGCCGTCGGGGGTTTTATTAGGACCCCCCCCCCCCTCCCACGGGTGTCCCACCAGAAGCCTAACACCGCACGTAGGTGGATTTACCTGTCCTGCCTCCGAGGGAGCGTGTTTCGGCTGAATATGGGGCTAGCGGAGGGGGAGGAGAGGGGGCTGACAGAAGACAGGAAGCACAACACACACAGAGAAAACAGCAGAGTTTTAGAGAGCAAAGTAGATGCATGTGGGCTTCAGAACAGAGATCAACGGCAGGCTCCTGCACCGGGGGGGGTAGAGCCACCGAGGCTCTGCCGACCTGTCAGGTGGGAATCCGCTCACTTAACCACAATTACTGTATCACCGGCCCAGGAGGAGTTTAGTTTCTCTGCTTCGGTGCAGACAACACGGCAAACAAGAACCAACACTGAGGCTTTGTGCTCGGCCTGATTTATGGACCCTGATGCTGATAATGAAGGCAGGACCGGGCAGGATCAGGATTCTTTTTGGAGATGCACAGCACATAGCCTGACATCCAAATGAGGAAAATGAGAGCATCGTTTTAGATAAGATTTAGATTTGACTTAACCCGTGGCAAGCCTGACCTGCTAAAATACAAAATAAAAAAAATAAAAAAAAACTCAAATACAAAGATAGTTTGAACATTTTACAACATGGAATGTTCAGAAAGCTCCAGTATGTAGAAAAATAGTGGAAACTGAAGCCGTCAGAAAGAGTTGCAGAGCGGCAAATATACATTTTTACTGGGAGACAACTAAGGGTTGACTTGACCTTGATGTCCAATTTTGTGCAAATAGTACAGAATATGAAAAAAAACTATGACCACTGTCTGAAAACACATGTAAAAACAGCACTTTGGAAACAAAAGTTTAAAAACTTTACGTGTTTGTGTGACTTTAAGAGACTTTAACATTACTGGAGCATTTACATGGATTTCATAGTTCTGAGCCGCTGTTAGAGGGATTTTTCATTGTTTAAATCCGTAGAACCTGATATTTCCAGAATAAAATGCCTTCATTTATAAGACTGAATGACCTCTGAAGTATGAAAGGACCTAAAAAGACAGTTCACTTTACAGTTTGCATAGTTTTAGCTAAACTCAATCAACCTGTGAGATGGAAGGAAGCGAGACGTTAACGGAGGCAAAACCCTAAAAAGTGGACTCTGCCGCCCGCTCTCCCCTCCGTGCGCGCTCACCTCTCGGACATGCCGGTCTTGACGCTGCCGGCGCGGCCCAGAGCGGCCAGGGTGTCCTCCCTGTGGGTGCCGGGCCCGCCCCCCCCTCCGGCGCTGCCCAGGCTCATGTCGATGGACTCGCTGCTGGTGTGCATGCTGCTGACGGAGGGGAAGCCCACGCTGCCCGCCCCGCCGTGCCCCCCCAGCGTGCTCTCCCGGCTGGGCACCGAGGAGCCGCTGAAGGTGGTTCCCCACGTCAGGCTGTTACTGGGGCCGGTGGAGGAGTAGACCGATCCCGGGCTGGAGGCCTGGGGAAAGGGGACACAGAATTTGATGTGTTTTTATCAGTTTTTGGGGGTCATGAGTGTAACTCTTCCCCATTACTCATCATCTCCATCCATCCATTATTGTTAGCGCTTATTCCCTAATGGGGTTGCGGGGAGACCTGGAGCCTATCCCAGTGGTCAATGGGGAGAGGCGGGGTCACCCTGGACGGTCCCCAGTCCATCACAGGGATACACAGAGACACACAAGGACCAACAACCACTCACACTCACACTAAGGGCAGTTTAGAGTCCAACCAACATAACATGCAGGTTTTTGGACGGTGGGAGGAAGCCGGACAACCCGGAGAGAACCCACAGACACAGGAGAACATGCAGACCCACCCAGAAAGGTCCTGGTTCCCCCGGGGACTCCAACCCAGAACCCTCTGGTCCTGGTTCCCCCGGGAATCCAACCCAGAACCCTCTGGCAGAAAGGTCCCCATTCCCCCGGGACTCTAACCCAGAACCTTCTTGCTGTGAGGCCATGGTGCTGACCACCACACCACCGTGACGCCCTACTCATCATCTCTGGTTTCAAATATTAAGATTACTTAAATAGATTACTTAGATATGAAGATTACTCATCTGCCATCGAAAATGGCAGACGAGTAAAAGTGTTTGAGGTCTAATATTGTCTCTATGTCTCTAGATTTTTTTGTTTTTAATCCGCAAATAACACACGTCAGTCTTCTAAACCCTCTGAACTGGATCAGTGGTGACACTGAATATGATCATTTCAGAGAAATTGGTTAGACTACTGAACTGCTTAAGGCGACAGATTCACCTCTTGAACCTTTTGTTTGTAACGGCATGACTTGCACTTGGAAAACAAGCTGTGTTTTTATCACCTGATTCATATCTGGCCCTGATAAAAACGCATGAATCACGCGAGCAGATGACGGCGAGGTCGTGACTGAGCACGCTCAGACGACTTATATTGCCTCCAGTTTGTCGGCGTGTGCCGAACCCACGAGCTGCTCCAGGAATTCTGCACGCTCGTGTTATTAGCGGAGCCGCAAGGAAATAATCCCCATGCGCGGCGAAGTCTTTTGAGCAAGCCTACAAACAACCAGCGCCATTTCCACGTTCACTCCTTAATCATCGGTAAGCTCGGCGGCACATAACGACTTTCAGTCTTAACCTAAAGCTGACTTACAGGTTTTAACGTACGACTGAAGT